CTATTGTAAGAAATCAGTGCTTCTTGCGGAAATACTATTCTGCTCCCATTCGGGCAAAGGTCCCTTTTGCACAAAAGGGCCAGTGTAGACAGCTAAGATTTGTTTTCTGCAAAAAAGCTCCGATCACGAAAATGGCGATCGGGGCTTTTTTGCGGAAAAGCACGTCTAGATTGGCACGGACGCTTTTCCGCCAAAGCATTTTTGCGGAAAAGCGTCCGTGCCAATCTAGATGCTCTGTTCCGAAAATGCTTTTAACTGAAAACTTTTTTCCATGCCAATCTAGATGCAGCCCCTATGTTTTCAATTTTTTTAGTGTAAAATTTGAATTTCTGTGCTAAGACCCATCTCTTCTCTCTTCTAATTAGAGCTGAATCAACTATATATAATACAGTTACCTAAGTCTCATAACATCTTGAAGAATAACAATTACTTGTGTCCATTACAATAGCTGTGTGCATGATTGTCAGAAAGTTTTCCCTGGTGGTACCTGTCATGTTGGCTGTGAAATATAGAATGCCAGGGCATGCCTGACATCTAGGGAATGAAGCATGTGCTCTCTGGTGGTGGTGTGGGGTTTTGGGAAGAACACAAACGGAGACCATTTTGGGTAGGAAATTGGAGTGTAGATGCAGCTGGAACTTGTCTTTGTAAAAAAACAGTAGATAGGGGCACTAACATAAGCAGGCTACAGGGTTAGCAAACACTGATATACCCGCCATGCACAGGTGACTGCAAGTGGAGATGGCCACCAGGTATTCCTCTATAGAGAATGGTGTGAGAGCCTGTTGCTTATGGGGCAGTAGGTAGCCCAGGATTGTGGAGATGGTGAAGAGACCAGCTTGAAAACCATGTCCACTTTGCCAGGTAAGAGGTGCAGGTGAAAGGCTTCCTAATTTCCAGGACCACCACTCTTACTGGGTCTGAACACTGGAGCTCCACCGAGTTCTACCAGGCTACGTATGTCTACCCTGCAGGTTCTTGCGCAAAAGCTTGCAAAGCATCTACACTGCACGCACGTTCTTGCGCAAGTAAATTTACAGTACAGTGTCGGAAAACGGCTTCTTCCAGAAGAGTTATTCCTTTCCCCATGAGGAATAAGCCCTCTTGCGCAAGAGCTCTTCCATAAGAAGGCAGTGTAGACATGCAACATGAATTTCTTGCACAAGAAACCCCTATGGCTAAAATGGCTATCAAAGCTTTCTTGTGCAAGAGAGCATCCACACTGCCATGGATGCTCTTGCACAAAAGCACATCTCTTCCACAAAAGCACATAGCAGTGTGGATGCACTCTTGTGGAAGACCTTTTGCACAAGAACTCTTTCGCAAAACAGTTCGGCTATGTCTACACTCGCGGCTTCTTGCACGAGTAATATGCAAATGAGGCTAAGCGTGGAATATTGCCGAGCCTCATTTGCATACCTAATGAGCCACCATTTTTTTTCAGAAGAGGCTCTTGTGCAAGAAGGAGCATCTACACTGAAGAAGCTGTGAGTGTAGACATAGCCTTCTTGTGCAAGAAGCCTGCAGTGTAGATGTAGCCCCACAGTTTCCAGGCCATGAGGTGGAAGGTATCCAGACTGGGGTGCTGGAGCTTGCCATGATCCTGAATGAGAATGTCCAGGCATAGTGGAAGGGATAATGGTCTGTCCATTGAAAGGTCCAACAGTGTGATGAACCAGTGCAGGCAGGGACATGCCAGCACTATTGAAATGAATGATGCCTTGTTCTGGTAGATCTCAAGGAGAAGTTGGAAGATGAACGGGAAGGCATACATCAAGATATAACCTCAGGAGGTGAAAGGCATCTTCAGTGAAGCCAGGGCAGTTTCTTGAACAAGCAGAACCTCTGGCACTTCCAGTTTCATATCACATAGGTCCAAGTGGGGAAACGCCCACCTCTGGAAAACTAACATTGCAACGTACAGCCTGGAGGACCATTTGTGACCGCAAACAAGTGGCTGAAGTGGTCTGCCTGCTTGTTCTGCACCCCCAGAAGGTATGAAGCCTGAAGAAGTATTGAATTGGCAGTGCAAAATATCTAGAGCTCTAGGGCTTCTCAGCAAGGGAGAGATGAGCAAGCACCATCATGCTTGTTTTTATAGAACATCACTGATGTGTCTGTGGGCACTAACAATGAGGAGTCCTGTGGCATCTTAAAGATAACAGATTTATATGGGCATAAGCTTTCATGGGTAAAAACCACTTTGTCAGATTAGTCTTTTAAGTGCCACAGGACTTCTAATTGTTTTTGCAGATATAGATGAACATGACTCTGCAACTCTGTGAGCACTGCTACATGGATGCCCTATAGGTTGTGCTTGAAAGCTTGACACACCAGCCAAACCATCTTGAGCTCTTCTACATTGATAAACAGAGGCAATTCTGCTTGGATCCTGATCTCACCCAGATGTGGCTCGCAGCTTAGTGCAACGGCATCAGTGACATAGTGGATTGTTTTGGCAAAGGGAACTCCCGCACAGACCACCTGAGGTTGAAGGCATTACTGTAATGAATGGCAGGACAGGTAGTGGGAGAGTAATGACAGCATCCATAGGGCCACAGCCATATCCCTACCCTAATCTGGCCTGGAAGGGGATCAGC